CGAGTGCCATAGTCCTGCCCCATATTACCTATCACTCTTAAATCATGAATGTAATGCTCACATTGCTAGAGCAACAGGAATTCTTCACCGGGGCTCTGAATCAAAATGCATACAAACACTTGAAGGGATTTGTGGACACTTGTAGGGAGGGTAAACAGACATATGTCTCCGAGGATGCTTTAAGGTTGAGGCTATTTCCTTTCTCTCTACGGGGGAAGGCCTTGGATTGGATAGAGAGATTGTCAAACCATTCCATCATACATGGGATGAGTTGGCACAGAAATTTATTTCTAAGTTCTTTCTCCGGGCATTTGGCTACTCTTAGAGACGAGATTCTACCATACAAACAAGAGGCCAATCAGGCGTTGCATGAAATATGGTAGAGGTACCAAACAATAGTCAAATAGTGCCCTAATAATGACATGACAGAGGCTATGATTCAACAAATTTTCTACTAGGGGATCAATACGACCAATCAGTGGGTGGTAAATCAACTTGACGGTGGAAATTTCATGACAATGTCGTATGCTAAATCTTGTGAGATTTTAGATGAAATGGCGGACACTTCATAGGCATGGAAAAGTAGGGAAAATGTTCCTCAATGTGATCCGAACGTGATTCACCTGCATAAAGAATTGCATGATCATGGGCAAGCCATTGCCGAGTTGACCACCATAATGAATCAATTAGCAAAGGCTCAACTTCAACAAGTGCAAAGTCCTAAGCAAGTCAATACCATGGAGGGAGTAAACATGATGGTGAACAAAAGGAGGACCAAGGGACCACAAGTGCAAAACCGAATGGAGAATTATGTGTAAGAAGATAGTGGGTTTGCTCAAGATGAATCCTACAATAAACAAGAGGAAGAAGTGCAATATGTGAACAACTTTCAAGGGAAAAGAAATAACTCTCAAGGCCCTAACCAACAACACCGGTAACCTCAAGTTAATCAAGGTAATTGGAATTCCAACAACCAAAATATTTGGAATAATAAAAACAATCACGGAAATTGGAGTGGTGGAAATAACCAAGGCAACTGGAATGGCAATAACCAAGGATATTGGGGTGGAAACAACCAAGGGGATGGAACAATAATCAAGGCAATCGAGGGTCGGGTTTTCAAAGGCCCCCGATGTATCAACAACCGAGCAACCCGCCTCCTTATCCTTCACACGGTCCAAGTTCCTCCAACAATGAAATGGGGCGTATTGAGAATATGTTCAAGCAAATGATGGAGAAGAATGCCGACTCCGATGCCCAACTTGCCTCTCACAATACATCTATCCATAACTTGGAAGTCCAAATGGGGCAATTCTCTCAAGCCCTAAATACTCGTCCTAATGGGGCACTACCAAGTGACACGGTAGTGAACCCAAAGGGTGGGAACAACACGGGACATGCCATGGCCGTTACTACAAAAAGTGGAAAATGTGGGGATGCACCCACCTCAAGTAAAAGGAAACTTGTGGATGATGAGCAAGTGGTTCAATAAGATGAGACCCCAAACAATGTGGTGCAAGCAAATGATGAAGTGCGGATTAATATTGATGACAATGTGGAAGAGACTCAAGAGGACGTGAACTTGTCTAGGGATCACATTGTTGACATACCGGAACCAGTAGTGCAAAAGGCTAAGGCACCAATTCCTAGGCCTCCTCCTCCATATCCTCAAAGGCTTGCCAAGCAAAATGGCAAGAATCAATTCAAAAGGTTTATTAACATGATGAGGAGTCTATCAATCAATGTTCCATTGGTTTAAGTCTTAGAGAAAATGCCCGGTTATGCAAAGTTTATGAAGGATTTAGTGACACAGAAGCGGTCAATGAATTTTGAAACTATAAAAATGACTCATCAAGTGAGTGCAATTGTGCATTCAATGGACCCCAAGTTGGAGGATCCCGGCGGTTTCACGATTCTTTGTACAATTGGAAGTGCCATGTTTGCAAAATCTCTTTGTGATCATGGGACAAGTATATATTTGATACCCTATTTGGTTTTCAAGACTCTAGGAATTGGAGAACCAAGACCCACATCTATGAGATTACAAATGGCCGATTGTACCATGAAGAGACCATTGGGAGTGATTGAAGATGTATTGGTTCGTGTTGATAAGTTCATTATTCTGGTGGATTTTGTCATTCTTGATTGTGAGGTTGACTATGAGGTACCAATTATTCTTGGGAGACCTTTCCTTGCAATGGGGCAGGCTCTAGTTAATGTTGAAGCTGGAGAACTTACCTTTCGGGTTGGTGATAAAAAAGTGATTTTCCATGTGTGTAAGTCTATAGGAAACCCAATAGCAATGAGGTGTGCTCTTTCGTGGACTTGGTGACTGATGTGATTGTGGATGAAACAAGTGTTGTGATAAATGTCGATGATACATTAGAGTCCGTCTTGCTCAACATTGATGATGAAGAGATAGAGGACTTCGTGGAATGTGTGAACTCTTTTCAAGGAATGGGGTTTACACTTATAAGCCCCGCAAATTGTCCTTGGATCTTGAAAATAGGACAACTCCTCCAACAAAGCCTTCAATTTAGGAGTCTCCCATCTTGGAGTTGAAGCCATTGCCTCCACACCTTCGGTATGAATTTCTTTGCCCTTCCTCTACTTTACCGGTTATTCTTTCCTCTTATTTGACAAATGTGCCGGTAGACTCCACATTGGCGGTGCTACAAAAGAGGAGGAAGGCTATTGGATGGACATTAGCAGATATACAGGGGATAAACCCAGCATTTTTTATGCACAATATTAACTTGGAGAAAGGTGGAAAACCATCTATTGCACATCAAATGCGACTCAATGAAGCCATGCAAGAGGTTGTCAAAAAGGAGATCATCAAGTGGTTGGATATCGGGGTTGTCTACCCCATTTCCGATAGTTCGTGGACTTCTCCGATTCAATGTGTCCCAAAAAGGGGGGCATGACGATGGTCACCAATGATAAGAATGAGTTGATTCCTACAAGAACGGTGTTTGGGTGGAGAGTGGGTATGGACTATCGTAAGCTCAACAAAGTCACAAGGAAGGACCATTTTCCACTTCCCTTCCTAGATCAAATTCTTGATAGATTGGCCAGATGTGTTTTCTATTGTTTCCTTGATGGGTATTCCGGCTACAACCAAATTCTTATTGCTTTGGAGGATCAATAGAAAACTACATTTACACGTCCTTATGGTACTTTCGCATTCAAGCGGATGCCATTTGGGTTGTACAATGCACCAGGGACTTTTCAAAGGTGTATGATAGCGATCTTCATGGACATGATGGAGGATTACCTTGAAATCTTCATGGATGACTTCTCGGTGGTGAGGAATTCCTTTGATGATTGTCTCACAAACTTGGATAAAGTGTTGGCAAGATGTGAAGAAACAAACTTGGTGCTCAATTGGGAGAAATATCATTTCATGGTCAAGGAAGGCATTGTCCTTAGCCACAAGATCTCAAAGAATGGAATTGAAGTTGACAAGGCAAAGATTGAGGTGATTTCTATACTTCCACCTCTAACTTCGATGAAAGGCGTGCGGAGTTTCATAGGACACGCGGGATTTCACCTACGTTTCATCAAGTATTTCTCTTAACTAGTGAACCTGTTGTGCAAGCTTTTGGAGAAATATACTAAGTTCCACTTCAATGATGATTGCATGCAAGCCTTTGAATTGCTAAAGTTCAAGTTGACCACTACTCCCATTATCAGCGCTCCAGATTGGAGTTTTGGGGCAACGCTTCAATAAGATTTTTCATCTGGTCTACTGTGCTAGTAAGACCATGAATAGTGCCTAAGTCAACTACACCGTTACGGAGAAAGAGCTCCTTGCCATTGTGTTTTCTATTGAGAAGTTTCACTCATACTTGATGGGTGTAAAAGTGATTATCCACGCGGATCATGCGACACTTCGTTATCTTATGAGGAAAAAAGATTCCAAAGCCCTGTTGATGAGATGGGTGCTTTTGTTGCAAGAGTTTGATATTGACATCTAATATCGAAAAGAAAGTGAAAACCAAGTGGCAGACCACTTGTCTTGTTTGGAAGAGGAGGGGAGGCCGCATGATGGCCTTGAAATCAATGACTCTTTCCTCGATGAGCAACTTTTGGCTATTTCAATGAAAGAAAGTGCCATAGTTCGAGGATCTAGCAAATTTTCTTGAGAGTGTTATCAACCCGGATGAGTTCTCTTCAAACCAAAGAAAGAAGCTCAAACGGGATTGTCAAGACTATTATTGGGATGAGCCATACCTTTTTCGGATTTGTATGGATAGAGTGATTATAAGATGTGTACAGGAGGAGGAACAACGTGAAATACTTGGGGCTTGTCATTCTTTGCCATATGGTGGCCACCATAGTGGAGCAAGAACGGTGGCCAAACTGCTATGTTACAGTTTCTATTGGACCACTCTTTACAAGGATGCAACTATTCTAGTCATGCATTGTGATGAATGTCAAAGAGCTGATGAAATCTCAAAGAAAAATGAAATTCCCCTCACCACCATTTTAGAGATTGATATTTTTGATGTGTGGGGTATTGACTTCATGGGTCATTTTGTGAGTTCTTATGGAAACACCTACATCTTGGTCGCAGTTGATTATGTGTCCAAATGGGTTGAGGCTGTTGCTTTACCCAACAATGAATCGAGAAGTGTGATGGCATTTTGAAGAAGAATATTTTCACAAGGTTTGATACTCTACGGGCTATCATAAGCGATGATGGGTCGCATTTTTGCAACAAAGCTTTCGACACCTTACTCACCAAGTATGGTGTCACTCATAAAGTCACGACTCCCTATCATCCACAAGCAAGCGGTCAAGTGGAAGTCTCCAACCGGGAGATAAAGAGTATTTTGTCCAAAACAGTGAATGTTAATCGGACGGATTGGTCCAAGAAACTTGATAATGCTTTATGGGCTTATATAACGGCTTAAAAAATACCTATCGGAATGTCTCCATATCGGTTTGTATTCAGAAAAGCTCGTCATCTTCCGGTGTAACTTGAGCACAAAGTCATGTGGGCTTTAAAGAAGTTGAATCTTGAGTGGGATGTCGCCACCAGCTTAAGGGTGTCACATTTGAATGAGTTGGATGAGTTTCGGTACCATGCATACACAAGTTCTCCCTTATACAAAGAGAAGATGAAATATCTTCATGACAAGTACATTGGGAACAAAGAGTGTAAAGAGGGTGATCTTGTGTTGTTGTTCAATTTACGGTTACAGATGTTTCCCAAAAAGTTAAAGTCTAAATGGTTCTGCCCATTTGAGGTTGTGAGTGTGACACCCTTTGGTGCATTGGACTTGAAGAATAATAATGATAAGGTGTTTAGAGTCAATGGTCATCGGGTAAAGAATTATCTAGGAAAATTTGGTGACAGCTACGTCGTGGCGGTAATTCATTTGACATGATGGTAATGTGTGTCATACCGCGACGTTAAATCAAGCACTTCTTGGGAGACAACCCATGTTTCTTTTTCTCTTTCTTTTCTTCTTCTTTAGATAGGTCTTATTTTGTGCTAACTGGATTTGAAGTGTATTGCGACAATGAGTGTGCTTTACAGGAACTGTGCTCAGAAAAAATTGGCTAAGTATGGAAAAAGTGCGGACGACACATGTATTGTGCGAACTGCATAATTTTGAATGCAACAGTTGATGGAAATTGCGGCCGGATAATTCTTGTGCGGACCGCACAAATTGAGATGGAAAAATGCAAACTCTCTGAAGTTTGTTTGTTAGAAAAATAGCAAAGTGCGGCCACACAATGAATTCTGTGATCCGCACCAAAGTCTGCGGCCGCACAACTAAATCTGTGGATCATAGATCATCAAAGGAAATTGAACCTCCAGGTAACAGAGTGTAGACCGCAGAAGGAATTCTGCGGCCGCACTCTTCTCGTTGTTCCTTACCTAGATCCATTGTGTATAAATAGTAATGCTACGGCTACTGTACAAATTTTTCATTAACTGAGCACTCAAAAAAGGTTAAAACTTTGCGCGCATCTGTTCAATCATCTACCACCTAAATATGCATATGTGATCATTCCTTAGCACTTTTTCATCACTGGTATGTTCAAATCACTTCTAAGATTCTTCGATTTTCTTAGTTAATTTACAATTTGCTAGTTATTTTAGACCAATAGTCAGTAGAAGTAAATTTTATATCCATTTGGGGTTTAATTGTGTTGGGTCAACTCCTAATTGCTATTTTGGGAATTGTTATCTTGATTATCATGTATAATTACTATTACCATGTCTAATTTTTGCATAAATAAAAACCCTTAAGGAATATGCCCGATTTAATTTTGAAATCTGCAGCCGCACAAAAAATTATGCAGTCCGCAGATTTGTAGATTAGGGCAGTTGGTGAGGCAAAATTGTGCGGATCGCACTTAAAATTGTGTGGACCGCAGAAATGCCATCATGGCAGCAGAAAAGTGTGTGCTGCCGCAGATCAGGCCAATCTCTATCTTCAGAGAGTTGCTATTTTGAGGTACCTATAGTGCAGCCGCAATGACAATTGTGCGGACCACACTTTAGATGTACGGTCATACTCAAAATTGTGTGGACCGTAGTTTCATCTCTGCAGATGCAAGTTCAAATGGTGCAGTCTGCACAACCGAGGATGTGGATGCACTTGCAATTGTGCGGATCGCACTTCCCCATCCTGCAAACATGTTTTGTTATGTGAATGTCTGTTTATCTGCAGTTGAACTAGAACTGACTCTTGTTGTTGTTTGTTATAGAAAAGGTTTGATCACGAGGTCGTGGTGATACATCAAAAGGGAGGGGGAACCTTCCAGAGGCCGAGGCAAGAGTGCTTGACCCCTCACCCTTCAAAGCGTTATACCCAAAAGGGCAACAACCGTCCAAGGTAGAGCTGCAAAGTCCACTGAATCAAGCGCTTATATCTCGTCTAGGGAAGCATCAGAGGGTGACTCAGTGCAAGAGCAGTCTGCTATTCAATCACAGCCATAGCAGCTTCAGGGAATATATCAACTTCGAGATGAGCCTTGCACCTCTAAGAGCACTTCCGAGGGTTCGGAAGGTGATAGTCAGCCTTTAGAGCCTGATCTCGTCCAAGTTCACACCTTAATTTAAGGTAATGAAATGGTCGATTGCAATGGTAATACCCAACAAGGAGACAGGGTCGAATTCCACAATGAGTTATACGTGGGATTTAGGAGTATAGAATGCAGTGTATGAGTATGAACTATCTCAATTTACACTTCCACAAATTGGTGTTTGTTCTATGTCTATTCTAATCTAAGATTGCAAGATTAAGAAATGAAACTAAGAAATTATTTTTGTTGTTTTTTAAAAGATGTAAAAGGCCTAGGGCTATGACCTTCACCTAGGTGTTTGCCTAGTGGGTTGTAAACTTTTAAGCTTGTTTTATTGGTCAGGGTGTATTATAGCTATCAATACTCGAGTACCCACTCAATACCTCTCAATCAGAGAGTGATTTTGCCCAATTTGGCTTTCTCAAGACCAAATGAGTATTGAACAAAATGGTTGATACAAAGCTCAAGTTAGGTTTTACTAACTCTAGGTTCAACCCTTTAGTTGAGACTATTAATCTCTCTATTTATCTAATTCCTTGTTAGCCAAGTTTTCCTTGACTAGGTCTCTGTTTCTCAAGTAGAGACCAAGTCAAATAGGCATGAACTAATGTTTGCAACCATTAATTCTACAATTAAAAGCAAGAACTAGGATAAATAATAAGCACCCAACCATAAACAAGCAATAACTCAAACACCCATTAAGTTTACACTCTAGGGTTGGGTCACAACCCTAATGAAAATCTAGCTACTCATGCTTAAGATAGAAGAAATAGAAAATGAAATGATAATTAAACCCATATTGATAATTAATGATAAAATCTCTATTCAAAAAGCTCAAAATAGCAAAAACTACAAAAGAGAGTAAAGAAAAATGGTTAATGTAGCTGCTGATGTCAAACACTTAACCTAAAAAAGTGAAACCCTTCTATTATATAGGGCTAGAATTTTCGGACAAAAATGCCCTTTCGGGGGTTCTGCAGCCACACAATTCCATGCGCGGTCCGCACTTTGCTTCAGCCTGACAGGATTGGAAACTTGCGGCCGCATAATTTTGAGGTGCGACCGCACTTCTCCTTTTCAGCGGCCTGCACATTTTTTAGTGCAGCCTCACATGGTTCTTCTGCAAACCGCACAAATATGACTGCGGCCGCCTAGCTGTTCTTTTGCGGCTGCACAATAATTGTGCGGTTCGCACTTCTGTTGAAATCGAGATGAAGGTTATCTGAACTTTTGCTCTTGCCCAATTTCTGCTGCCACGCATATCATGTGCGGACTGCACTTTGCACTTCTCTCCGATAGAAGTTTCTTCACTTTGCACTTCTGAGTTTCTGTGCCTGTTTTTGTCCTTAAGTTCAGATTACTCCTTCTTGAGTTGGATTTCATCTTGGGGGCTCATTTTCCAATATTCCTGCAGTTAAGCATATTTTATCAGTTTTCGGGAGCACAATTAAATACTTTTGGACTAAAATGAAAGCTAAGAGGCTCTAATAAGTAGTCAAAATCCCCACTTATCAACTCCCCCAAACTTAAGCTTTTGCTTGTCCTCAAGCAAATAAGGTGTTTCCCACCTCCCCAAGTTAAGAGCTATTCCAGTTAATCAAAGATATATCATTCACACATCAATTGGGACCAACAATTACCCACAACACTTATGAATTATGAAAAAGGCAGCGAGTTGAACTTTTAAGCATAAATAGTTCTAATGTGACACTTGAGCATCAAGAGTTGACTTTATTCATCATGGAAGCTCGTTCATTCATGTAGGTCACTGTGTATCCCAAACTCCTCCTCTTCTACTCTCCATTTGCATATCTCACTCAAGAATATAACACTCAATTCAAAGATTTGTGAAAGGTTCGCTCATCTCTCTCAAAAGAATGACAAGTACGACTCTAAGTACCATAGGTTTGCCCCTCATATAGATCACCACTAATGTAAGCTCACTCGGCTTGAAATAACCTAAGGCTTTTTCGGAATGCAATGAAGGCTTTTGGACTCAGGTTGGATACGTTATGATAGAACGGGTTCATCTTTCCATAATCACTCCATTTTCTCTTATCGGCTCGTGCTTTGCCAACTCTTTGAGGCATTTTATTTTCCTTAGGGAAACTAGAGAGACTTAACATCACTCTTTCTTGGTAATGATATTCATTTTCAACTTCTTTGCTTTCTCCATGCTTTGCAACATTACTTTTCTTTGAATCCCTTCAACTCTTCAACTTATTCACTTTCTTTTTGCATTATTCTTTCTATTCTTTATTTCTTTTTCTTGCCTTTCCTTCTCTTCATTTCTTTTCTCTTTTTGTGCCTTGATACATTTTTCAAACACCTCGTCTCTCCCCCAAACTTACGTTGTTAGTCAATTGTTCCACAAGAGTGTTAAGGAAAGCTCGAGTGCCAAGAGAGTGTCACGACAAAACAGGTAAAGGCTTGTAACATGGTTATCAAATGAGAAAGGTTTAAGGATCAAACAGGTTGACTAGGCATAACATTGGTAGGCCATGGAAAATTTTAAGCGGGTCAAGGAAAGCCTACATTCACTTCTCAAGCCAAGCAAACTTAAAATTTTTGCCTACAAACACATTCGGGGCATATTCTAGACCATTAGCACGGGTACTTGGACTGGCAACAAAAATATATCATCTCTCATGCAACTAGATTGTTAAAGCGGACAGAGTCGAGGGCCCACAACTACCATATTCAAGATTGAGAATCACCATGGTTTGACTAAACCACTCGATGATTTCTTAAGTCAACATAAGAGTCAAAAGGTCACTAACTAGAGCTATTTTTTTCCAAAAAGCTTGTTTTTAATCATAAGCACATAGTTAAGTGTGTTGGTACCAAGTGAAGCATGCTTTACTTTTCGAGATTGACTCAATTAGGTCTTTTATTCATTATTACTACTATTCTTACCTAAACACCAAAAACGAACTCAATCCCTTAAGAAGGTTGTAACGCCATCCATTATTGGGAAGAGTCACCTGGTTCATACAAAAATTACCTTTAGAAAGAACCGTGGCATTAAAAAAACCAAAGGCCTATTGACCACTAAAACATAAAAAGAAGCTATTAGATTAAATAAGAAGCTACTCAATTAAACCTTAACTACTAATAAAATAGAATAAAGAAGCTACAAATCAAACTACTGAGAGCATAATGAATATACATAATGGGATAGGAGAAGAGAGAATACACACATCAAGAGAGAACGGAGAGAATATATATACAGAATAAAGAGAAAGAAGAAAATATTTTCAGTTATTACAAACCAAATGTC